CCCCAAAACCCCAAAACCCCAAAACCCCAAAACCCCAAACTATATATTCAGATTGGCAGTAAATTAGTTAAATATTAATTCTAAATATGTCTAATAGTCAATCATTGAGGAAGTCTCATAGCCGTTCTGAATGCAGCAGCGTGAGTTCAATAGATATTAGGAGGATGGCTAGAGAAGAACTTGGATACAAATATCGAGTACGTTTTAATAACTCTTGTTATTTGGTTAAATGTTTGTTTTAAATTGATAGGCTTAATAAGTAAGAGGAAGCTATCTTCAAAAATTATCCCTTTATATTCTAGAGCTTTTTTTATATCTCAGGTGCTCATTTAGCTTAGAGGATTCATTGATTAATTTTAATCATCTTTTCCCAGAAAATTCCTTACAAATTGATAAATTCTCAAGAATTAATACTCCAAATGAGAGAATCTCTTGACTCTTGGTAAACAGAGTCATTAATGGAAGAAGAGATATACTACGCTATTTAACTATCACCAAAGGTCTAGTTCTTTCTATAAAATCTTCTGGCAAAGTATTCCATTATCCGCACATATTGGAAAATATTAGTGTAGTAGCTCAGAATCGAAATTTAGGAATAACAGTTTGCTGACTCCAACAATTTGGTGACAACCTTCTAGATCTTCAGAGTTCTTTGCAAGGCTTGTCTTTTTGACGAAAATGCTAATTTAGCTTATATTTCATGCATGTATATTTTGGAGTTCGAGAGCTAGGGATTTTAAAATCTCCAAGTTGGCATCAATACCTGTTTAGGTAAAATACTTAAGTTAATAAAGATTAAAATTATAAGAACTTATTTTCAAGGAGCTTCTTATTATATATTTTCTACAGAGGAGCTGGATAACTTTAGCTAAAAAATTCAGCAAACCTTGACAGGACCTCACTTAATGATTGCTATAGTTTCTCCAAACTCCGAAATCTTTTGAACTGGGAACTCCAGTCATTAAGAATTGCAAGAGAGTTGCTTCAAAGTTTAGAAACAGCTGTTCTGTTAGCAAGACTAGAAACAGACTTGCTCCGATCGCTCACACTGTAGACATTGTACTGGCTTCTCCTGCCATCAACCCGGACAATGGAAGTCTCTCTGAAACAAATCTTGAACACAGACTGGATCGACTGTGGAAGATGAAGGTGAAGAAACAGAATGTATTGGGCATGAGCAGCTTTAGTTTCACCCACTCCAAAGTTATAAGGGTAAGAAGAAGAGCCACTCTGATCAAAGTCCATTTCCTTAAGAAAGCCTTCGGAGCTCTCAATAATATGAGAAAGATTACTAGTAGAATAAGGATTTTTACAAATGCATTTAAGTTCACAGGCCAGAAGGATGTCAAGAGACATCATGCCTTGTCCAGAACTCCAGTGGTTATGAGTAAGAAGCCACAGATTTTGTCATCAATGCCTAGTCAGAGTAAGTTTTTGATGTAATATTTAGAGAATTTTATAAGAAATAAAGGAGATTTCATGGTCAGTCCTAATAACTCTGACACTAAACCTAGTCAGAGATCAGTGGCTAAGCTCAGCTCTTTCGGTAAACATTTCATCAAGAATGCTGACAAGACAAAGATCAAGAGAAGCTTTGCACTCAAGAAGAAAGTCACCATATGGAATTCGCAGAAAAAGTATGCCGTGAGGTAAGATTTATATGAATAAATTCTTAGAATGAAAGCAAAGGTGAAGAAGCCCATCAAATCACAAGTTGTGTCTAAAGACAAATATGGGTTGAAAGATCAAGTCTGGGCTGACAAACAGAACGGAGTTGAGTTCTTAATCCTGGATGACCAAATCAAAACTACAAGGAAAAGACTTAATCTGAAGCTTGGGAACTATTAACTTTGTTTTCTCTCTAAATGCTAATTCAGCTTTGTTATCAACAGGTAGTTAATTATTTCAAATTTCTTTGCCTAGCCCGGGGTTTTGGGGTTTTGGGGTTTTGGGGTTTTGGGGTTTTGGGGTTTTGGGGTTTTGGGG